AGGGAAAAGCAAAATCAAAGATAAAATTCTTTGCAACCTTCTAGCTCCATGTCTACAATAGGCACCTGCTACACAGTGTCAGCAGCTATCCCCCAGGACATTGTCCAGGCAAGATTGACTATTTCAGACCTGCAGAAGGGGCACAGTTGCCCACATCCAAGTATTTTTTAAATAAACTATCTGTGCACATTAAAAAAAGGTAGTAAAACAGTGACAGTGCCTCCGATGTCCCCTTGGATCCTTTGAAGTAGCTGTCACCAGCTGTCAAATTGGAGTTTGCAAAAGGCGTTCTCCAAAAAGAAAAAAGGGAAGAGGGACAAAAGCTACAGCAAGTATAAAAGGGCTCAAGATTGTGGCGATACTGATACCTCAACCATACCTCTTTGGCATCCAGGGGGCAGCTGGCAGTGGCCCAGGCAAGGCTGGCAAAAGCAGCAAGTTTTTCTTGGTCTTACCAAGTGGTTCAATAGCTAGTTCTCTTTATGTAGGAAGTGTTTGGTCCCAGGGCTTGGGCAGCACGACACACTGTCATAGGTACACAACTCCCAGAGAAGCCATGAATTGGCCGGGTGGCATATTTTCTATGAAAAAGCCACCCTGCGGGAAAATAGTTTGGGATCTCTTAAAGCAGCACAACAAGCTACCATAGCCTGACAACCACAATGGGTTTCATGCAAAGCCAGTTGTGGCTCTGTTGGGACAGAATTCAGGGATGTAGCTGGGCAATGCTTATTCCCCCCTCTAGATTCTCCCTTGCTTCAGTCTTCCACAGAGAGAAGATTATCAGCCTTAGCAAGCATTCAGGAAGCCAACAGTGGTTTGCTGAAAAGAGAACTATCAGCCCACAGGACAAACACTGAGTCTTCCACACTGAAAAAGTCTGTTGGGATTTAATTATGTACATTTTAGAATCCCTTGCTCATCTGAAGACAAGGAAAAAAACCCACCTCCTACTCCCTGATCCCACCAATGTTGTATCACTTAGTGCTTAGGAAAACTAGCTTGAAAAACAGTTTGCATGCAGAGAAGACTGCTCTGATGAAGAAGCCAAATCCAAAGCCTCACTGGCCACAAAGGGTTAGTCACATGGTATTGTTCACTGGGTCCAGATCTTGCTTCAACATCAGCATTAAAGAAAACAAAATAATGTTAAAACAGAATGTCCTCTTGGACAGCATGGTTCAAGAAAAGTTAACCTTCTGATTTTGTTCAGCCTAAGAGATTTATATAAAACTCACTGAATAATCAAATTTAATGCAATTTAACATGTAATGTGTTTGATAGTTCAAAACTGCTTCCAAGTAGCTTTTAGCGCATGAAAGCCATAAAAGCTTTTCAAAGTATTCTAATTGAATTGTCAAAATGAACTAAAATTAGGCTTTGCAGTACCTAAAATGATCCCAGTCTTGTTATACTGGGTATTCTGGTGATCCTTAGGCCGCAATACTTTCCCCGTTTTGTTCCTAGGAACAAAACAAAAAACATCACAAGAATCATGCCGGATCAGACCAAAGACCCATATAGTCCAGCATTTCATTTACACAGGATCCCACAAGCAGGACATGAGTACGACTGCAACTTCACTCCAATGTTCTTTGCAACAGGTATACAGAGGTAGTGTGGTGTGGTGGTTAACAGCATTGGACTGGGTCCCTGTGGCTTTAGGTCCTTGTTCCCAATCGACTATGAAGCTCACTGACTGACTGGCCAGTCACTCACTGTAACCTAACCCACCTCACAGGTTTGCTGTTGTGAGGACAAAATGCAATGGAAGACGACAATGTAAGCCACCTCGGGTTCCTCAGAAGAGGAAAAAAGTGGGATATAAATACACAGAAACAGAGCGAGTCAGAAAGGGTCTCTCCTGCAGATCTTAAGGGGTATGAGGGGCATATAAGGAAGGAGACGTTCATTCAGGTATCCCTGTCCCAAGCCGTTCAGGGCTTTATAGGGCAAAATCAGCACCTTGAATTGGGCCCAGACTTCAACTGGAAGCCGGTGGAGCTGGTAGAGGACCGGCGTTATGCGAGAATAATGACCGGTCCCTGTCAGCATCCTGTCCACTCTATTCTGTACCAGCTGAAATATCCAGACCATTTTCAAGGGCAGCCCCAGATAGAGCGCATTATAGTAATCCAACTGTAACAGTTTAAACTTGAAGTTCTCAAGGTTTTTTTTTTTTTGGCCCAATGTACATTTTACACTTGCTTACAATGAACTACATTTGCCATTCTGATGTATATTTTTTTCAGTTTGGAGAGATCCTTTGGAGTGCCTCACAGTCACTTTTTGTTTTAAGTACCCTAAATAAAGTGGTGTCATCAGTAAATTTGGCCTCATTCCAGCTCACTCCTTATTGCAAATCATGTATGAGTAGGTTGAAGAACACTGGTACCAATACATTTCCCTGTGGGGACCCAGTTTCTTTGCCTCCATTTATTTCTATTCTCCGCTTTTTGTTCTTTAATCAGTTACTGACCCATAAGAGCTCTTCCTCTCTAATTCCAAATTTTCTCAGGAGTCTTTTGAGGGTTTTTGTCAAAAGCCTTTGAGAAGTTCAAGAAAACATCTACCAAATAACCCATCTATATTTTTAAAGGACTCGGAAAGGTTAGTGAGACAGGACTTACCTTTGTAGAAGCCATGTTGGTTCTATTGCAGCAGGGCTTGGCCTTCTATATGCTTCCTAATTTTATTTTAATAACATTTCAATCAATTTATCTGGAGGAGTCATTAAGCTAACTGGCCTCAATACCAATGTAACACTGGCTACTCTCCAGTCCTCTGGAACCAAGGTTAATTATAGGGACTAGTTACATAGCTTTGAAATAATATTAGCAATTTCATATTTGAGCCCTTTAAGAACTGTAAGATGAATGCCAATTGGGCCTGGTGATTTATTAATTGCATTTTTTTCCCAATACAATTGAGAAGGTTCATCTGTTTTACCACTATACTTCATTCTTCAGACTCCTTTCCTGAAAACAGGAGTTCTCACACAGGGTATCTATCTTGTACAGTATCTTCTGCGGTGCAGACAGATGAAAAGGAATCTCCTTTCTTCCAGTAGCTCCATTATCATCCAATACTCCAACTGCCTCCATTTTTCTGCTTCTAATAGTTAGAAAATCCATTATCGTTGTCCTTAATGTTGTTAGATGTATGCTCCTCAAAATGCTTTTTCTGCATCTCCTCTTGTTTGCTTGTATCTCCCTTGTGCAAGCTTGCACTCACTTTTCTCTTCCCCACTTAGGCAAGACTTTCATGCTATGAAGGAAACTTTGTTTCTGATGGCTTCCTTGATGTTGTTCATTCACCAAGAATCTGGTGACTTCCTGGAATTGATCCTATCTTTCCTACACTGCAGTGTTGTACTATCAGAGCTTTTCTTATTGTTGTTTTGAGTAACCTCCAAAGATTTTTAAGGAATTTAGGCTTCTTGACTTCCCTTTTCCACTTCCTTTTGACCAGTTCCCCCATTTTAGAGAAGTTTACTCTTTAGAAATCAAATGCGATTGCATTGGACCTCTTTGGCAACCTCCCACTTAAATATAAATTAAATCTGATACCACTGTGATCACTGTTCCTGATTAGTTCAACATTTAAGTCTCATACTACATGCTGGCCAACCTAGTTAGGATTAAATCCAGGATTGCCTCCATTCTGCTCAGTTCAATGACTGACTGTTCTAGGGTACCGTCATTTAGGACACTGAGAAATGTAACCTCTTTCTCAGAAAAGGAACATGTATTTATGCAGTCAATGTGGGGGTAGCTGAAACACTTCCTTCTTTGGAGGCCTCCCTGATTTCATTTTCCATCTTAAGATCACCTTGAGTGTTCTTGTCTGTTGGATGATGGCATATTCCTAATGCTAAATTAGTTTTGCAGCTAAGCTTTATGTTAGATAACTGTGGCCTAGCAGTTATCAGTATAAAATGAGCACAAGCCATATGCTATGCTACGCAACATGTAAAATGACCAGGGAGGCTGCGTTAGACTGCTTGCTGACCATATAAGGAAACTTGACTGATTGACCACTTTTGGTTCACAACTAGAGGGTGGTAACTGGAGCTGATAGCCACGGGATAAAATTTTGTTAAACTGCGCCACAAAGGTGTGAAGACCGCTTTGCTTTTAAGGCAGCGGTTTCACCCTTCAGTTGAAGACTCTTAATAAAAACTAGTTTTGAGCCTACATTGTGTCTTTGTTTCCTTCTTGAAACAACAAATTTTATTTATTTATTTTATTTATTTATTAAAACATTTTTATGCCGCCCCATTCGCCGAAGCCTCGGGGCGGCTTACAACAGTAAGTTAAAATAATTATAATATAAATCAAGAATATAAACATTAAATTAAAAATACAAAAATACAGTATAAAATAAATTGGCACAAGTCCTCTCAGAAGACAAATTACTGGGCGCAATTTTCCCAACAATTACCACCCAGAGCAATCCTGTGGCAGTGTCTGCCCTTTTAGGTATTTGAATCTGCCTCCTCTAATATGCTCTCGTCTTTTCTATAGAGTTTATATCCAGAGATAACTCTATCTCACTATTTCTTGCCATTCCACCATATTTCCTTGATACCCACTCTTCCTAGGGTCTCCTTTAAGACCAGGAACTCCAACTTTCGTATTTTAGCTTGGAGGCTTCCCGTATTTGCACAGAAGCATCTATAGAGACATCACTGGCATATGCAATATCTGTTTTGTCACTTAGGCCTCTGACTGGGTATCAGATTTCACTGTAGGCTAATGGTCTATTTCTTTCTCCTCTAAATTTGGACAATCAGAAAGTTAGGGGATAAAGATGCTTTCCAGCTCTTCTTCCCTTCCCCAGGTTTCAGTTTCAAAGCT